CACAATTCAGGCGTAATAAAATATTATCTTTATTCCCACGTGAATCTCGAACCGTTTCGTTTTAAAAGTTATCAGGAAAAAAAAAGGAAGAAGTCGAGAGAGAAGCAAAGACATAAAAATTAACATAGATTAGGTAACATTGAAATTTGCAATAATCTTTAATAATAATTAATAAATAAGATAGTTAATAAATGAATGTTTGATCCCTACAATATCCATGCTTGAAACTTTAGAGACCGTCCTTTTATATAGCTATACGTTAAATCCAGCAGGGTTTCCTTCTGATCGTATCGGATCTCGGTTGCTGCGTTGTTCTTTTTCAATTTAACTGCTGTTTAATCGCTGACGAAGATAATCCAAATAATCTGTTATTGATTGTGAGGCCTACACCATATTTCATATCCGCTGATGTTTTATAGTACTTCCAAAAATGATCTTAGATATGGGTCTCCGCAGTAGTTATGTAGATGGCACTTCGATATGCCATGAGGTATTCGTTAATCCTAGTCTTCTTGGTTTTTGTCAACTACCTTAATTTATTTATTTATTTATTTATTCACAAACAACCAGAGGATCTAAAAGACCACATACCTAGTTGATAAAAAAGAAAAACAATTTCTCTAAACATAACGTCAAGAAGAATAAATCTACATAAAAATATTATTGTCGCTATCATCAATCAACATCACACAAGCAATCAGTATGGCAAAAAACTTAACTAATAAATATAAACACAGATTTCGCTTTCGAGTTCATTGTTATCAATCAACATAAAAAAAAAAACAAAAAAATAAATACATATACTTACACATACACGCATACACATATATACATAACATGCACATATATATAGAGAAGTTAATAATGGCATTAAGTCACGAATAACATTAACATTTTTATCATAGAGCACAATAATTATGACAACAAACATTAATGTAATAGTTGTTTGATTAGTAAATATTTGGACAAGTCAACAGCCAGTAAGCGATTCTTGAAGATGGCATGAGATGTTGAGGACACCACTTCTTTTGGCAACGTATGATTCTGTTGCAGAAGAAGTATTTGGACACGTTGTCGTTAGTGTTTAATTCACGCAACTTATTCTGATGCCCACGAGTCGACACATACGAAACCGGGATGAATTTCTCAATCAGATCAGTTTGGATATTTTTGTTAAGAATTTTGTTTAAAAAGCATAAGTCATAAATTAATCTGCGGTGTTCCAGAGTTTGCATTTTAACTGCTTGTAGTCGAAATAAATACGGTAGATGGGGTAAGGAAGGAATTGATTTCGTGAACCTTTTCTGGACGTTTTCGATTTTTCTCACTTGGTACTTATAATGGGGGTTCCACACAGAGGAACAGTACTCCAACTGAGGACGTACATATGTGCAAACTGCTTTGATGAGTAGGTTTTGATCTTTAGAGGTAAAACATCTGATTATTAAACGTCCACGTGAGGAAGCTTTGTGAGTTATATCGTCAATATGTAAATTAAAATTAGTTTGCTTGTCAACTGTAAAACCTAGATCCTTGAAGTAACATGCTGGTTTTAAAACGTGTTGACCAACAAAATACTGATGAGGAACATTAAAAGATCTAGATGAATGGGGAAATAAACAATAATAACATTTATCCGGAGAAAGGGGTAACTGCCATTTGATACTCCAATCAACTACATCGTTGATTACTTGTTGAAGTTGAGTTGAATCGAATGAGCAGCAGTATAACTTGATGTCGTCAGCAAAGAGCAAAATTGAAACCGGTTTAGATGAAATACACTCAACTATGTCGTTTATATAAATGAAAAATAAGGTGGGTCCCAGGACGCTACCCTGTGCAACACCACTAGTAACTGGCACAGACGATGACAACTTACCATGAACCCGAACAAGCTGAGAACGTTCATATAAAAAGTCTTTCAACCAGGAAAGTAAATTTCCTTAAATTCCATAAGACTCTAATTTACTAATTAGTTTTTTGTGCGATACGGAGTCGAAGGCTTTTTGAAAATCTAAGTAGACGGTGTCACAACACTCTCTTTGCTGACGAATTGACATCCAATCCCCGAGAAATTGTAGAAGGTTGGTGTTGGTGGATCTCCCAGGCAAAAAACCATGTTGAAATTGAGATATTAATTTATTGTTAGACATGTAAGATAACATTTTTTTGTTGATGATTTTTTCCATTATGCGGCAGCAAGAACATGTAAGTGAGATTGGTCTGTAGTTGCTTGGGTAGTTAGTTGGTCCTTTTTTTGTCACAATTGCAGTTTTCCATTTAGCTGGCAGCATATTATTTTTGAAGGATGTATCGAAAATATGACATAGTGGGACTGCTAGACTAGAAGCACACATCTTTAGTAGGATGTTCGGAATACCATCTGGTCCCATCGAGGATGTACATTTTAGATTACGTAGAGCTGAGCTAGTCGGGGAGTGAAGCTAACATCGTCTAATGAATTGGTGGTACGACAAAGTAAAGTGCAGTTGCTGTTGTTGTCGTTGGTGAACACTGAGGCAAAATATTTGTTGAATGTGTTAGCCATCACCAATGGATCATGGGTAACGCTGTTGTCGTTCAATTTCAAACTGCTAAGTTGTTGTCGAGAAAACAATTTTTTATTAACGTATCGATAAAAACTTCGAACATTAGTTTTTGCCAACAATCTTTGTTCATTGATTTTTTTAAAATGATTGGCCAGTTTTGAACATTTACGCATCATTGACAAATAGAGTTCACTATCGTCAGAGGAAGATGTTATTTTCCATTTTTTCCAAAAATGAAGTTTGACTTTGTAAGATTGACGTAGCAAATTTGGAACTGTGCACTTGCGTGAGAAATTTGCATGACTCAGTAGGGGGACATACGTTGTCACAGCATTGTTGATTATTTGTTCGAAAAGTTTCCAGCAGGAGTTAACATCCATACAATTCTGAAATGGGTAATCCCAGTTTATACTCGTCAAACAATTGTTCATAGAAGCAAAATCAGCCTTGGTGAAATCATAGAAAGATGTATCATTGTTAAAAACAACACCTGATGAGGTACTAATCTCGCAGTTGACTGTAAATGTGAGACAGTTGTGGTCACTTGAAGCAAATGGGCAGGAAACATCTAACTCGGCCAGCAAGCTGGCATCATCACATAGAATCAAGTCCAAAATATTGTTTCCCCGAGTTGGTTGATCAACCAATTGGTGAAGACCCAATTCACTGAAAAGATCCATAAAGATGTCATAGATATAATTGTTCGGTGCAGAGTAATTTATCCAGTCGATATTGGGAAGGTAGAAATCACCCATCAAACAGTTTATATCACCTTTGCAAATTTCCTTTATACATTGAACGCTGTCGAATGCATATTTTTCTGCCAACATGTCGAAACCACCACTGCGATAATATGAAATAAAGCGGTAATTCTTGTTTGAGATAGCAATGTCGATAGAGACTATCTCAATATGTGAAAATGCTGATGACGCGAGACAACCCTGTAGGGAACGGTGTCCTTGATAATAAAAGCCACACCGCCACCACGTGTTTCACGGTCCCATCGAACAAAGACATAACCAGGTGGCAAAAATAAACTATCAGGATCATTCGGAGTTAACCAAGTTTCAATAACAGAAAAAATTTCAGGTTTATAAACTGATAAAAATAAAACCAGTTCATTTTGTTTCTTCTGAATGCTACGAACATTGGCGAGTGCGAAGCGGAGATGTTCATTAGATGTTTTCACAAAAGGGCTGATTACTCCCAGGTTGGTTGTTGTTGATTTTGTTCTGACGCCTTTCTTGCCTTTTTAGATAAGCCAGTTCTGCCTGTCTTTTGGAAAGATCAGGATTTATGAAGATTTTTTTAGTAGTTGGTGATGCTCTGAGGATTCTAGATGAAGCTATTAAATCTTCAACAGATGTTGAGTTATTGAGAGTTACGCACATCTTGCAATTACCAAAACGGCGGGTTCTAATTATCTGAGGTTTGATTGTCAAGTTATCTTCACAGAATTTTGAAATCCATGTTAGCAATCCCCGGCTGAGGTTCTAATCCTGATATTATGACGTTTTTAGACCGACGTTCCTCTTCCTTTCGTTCATCTTCCACCGTCCACAAGGCTTTTGTCATTGTCTCCAGCATTGGAGCGTTGTTGAGTTTTACTACCTGCTATTGACATTGGGCAACAGTGGAGCCGAGAGTTGACATAGTCATGTGAAGCTGATTCATGCAGTCAGTAACTGCATCTGACATGCCCTTGACTGCACGCTCAAAGCTGTTACTAATAGCTTCCATTTTTAAGACTGTTGTTTCAAACAGTTTACTCATCAGGGTCTCGGAATTGACAGTGGTTTTACGCAAGTTTTCGTTAGACAACTCAATTATTTTAGTTAAATTTGAGTCGGATTTTACCAGTAATTTTTCTAGGTTTCTATTTGAAAGGGTAATGACCTTTTCCAAATTCTCATTTGATTTTTCTAGAATTCTATCGAGGCATTTAATGAAATTTTCATTAGTTCTATCCAAAGTTTTGGAAATTATCAACTCAAAGTTTTCATTGGAAAGATTTTTAGCCATGGCAAATAACGGTGAACAGTATTTAATGAAATATTTACGAATTTAGAAAACAAAAAGCGATAATTTTAAAAATCAACAAGACGTACGTTAAGCTGACCAAACATGAATGTTTCATCATCCCATCTGGCTGAAGGTGGAGAGGAGTTGTTCTTGTCTTCTTTATATCTGGACAATTGCTATAATAGTCCGCTACAACCAAAATGTAACGGTTTTCGTCATTTGATTGCCAGTAGAATTTTTGTCAAGCGTTTTATTAACTTCAAAATGTTCTCCCATTTCAGCGATTTTATTCTTAGATACCACAACCTGCATGTGATGTTTCTTCGACTCCCATTTTCGTTTAAGCAACCCATCTTCCAAATGCAATGAGTCCCGCTGAGCCAAGTAGCTTTTCAACGACGAACCAAATTTAGATATTTTTTCCCGAAAGGCAAAAAATGCAGTGACATATTATAAGTTTTCATTTGCAGACTGTGCGCCCGAACGTTCTTTCGGTGCCCATCGTGTATCTACCGTTATCCTAATTTATCCTACATCTTCTGTTTGTACTTTGTCTTTCAGGCGATTGCAAGTATTTGCAACCTGGTAAAAAGGTCAACAAAAAAGCATCGTCATTGTTGTGGTAGGTTCCTTTACGGTGGATAATTTACAACCCTACAATAACTCGCTAACTAAATATACTACCACTTAACATCAATGGACTCTTCAGCAAATCAACCAAACTTCAATATTTTTTCACAAAAACAAAACTTGCTAACAGAAAACGCCTAGCATTTTAACAGCATACAATCTGCAGACAAGGCCAAAAACCTGGATCTTTGGTACATTGCACTGAAATACTTAAAAAATTTATTAAATTTTTAGAAAATTACAGAATGTTTACCTTTAACAAGCAATGGTTGATGTTAAAAAATTAAGTGAAAATTTAAACTTCGAGCCTATATCAATGAAGTGGGTGCAACGAGTGAAACGTCATTTCGATAAAAATGCTGCTGACGAACCAAACAAGGATCCAAAGAAAAATCTTGATGTAAAATTTTTAATTTGAACTGGATAAATATGCAAACATATGGGTTTTTTTATTTAATTTGAATAATTTACCCATCAAGTACGAACTTTTAAAATTGTGTAAAGAATTGCAAGAAAAATTTAAAGCCTTGCTATGTGATGAACTAATAAAATGTTTTTATTAGAGATAGAATAAGTGAAGTGGAAGTTGAAAAAGTAGTAGAAAAAGGAACCCCTTCATTATATAGAATTTTATTAAAGAACATACTTTACAAGAGTTATATCCAAAAACATCGACTGTTCTGAGCATTTTTCTTACGATACCTGTAACTGTTCCAAGTGGGAACGTAGCTTTTCTAAGTTGAAGCTAATTAAAACATATTTGTAAAACGCTATGTTTTTGAAGCCATTAAGGTAGAGAAAGTCACATCGTTTCAACATCTAGCAGATGTTCTCGATTGTACTGGAACAGCTGAAGCTGCCGTTCGAGCACGCATACGTGCAGCCTGGAATAAATGGCATCTCCTTGCCTCTATATTGATGCGGCGTGACATCCCACTACCACTACGATCAAGACTTTATAAATCTGTGATACGTCCGGTGTTGTTATATGGTGCAGAAACAATGACAACGAAACTGGAACAACAACGAACCGACATGAAAATGCTCCGATGGATGCAACGAATTAGTCTGAAGGAACACATCAAATCTACCGAAATCCTGCGTCGTGCTTGTTTAGATGATATAAAGGACGAATGCCGGCAACACCGTCTGCGGTGGTTTGGTCATGTCAAACGAAGTGGAAACAGTGCCATAACTTCTCTTGCAGATGTTCAAGTACATGGCACACGTCCCAAAAACCGTCCAAAGAAGTCCTGGTCGCAAATAATCGAGCAAGACATGAAAGCTCGAAATTTAAATGAAATGGATACAACTGATCGTCTAATTTGGCACAAAAAATCGATGGCAAAGAAAGCTAGAAGTTATATTTTTATATTTATGATCTTCGGGCGGACCCGGTGACAATAATTTAATTCCTAAGCACCTCACAGTCATGCTACAACAAAAACAAACGCTCAAACTTTGTTTAAAATGTCAAAACAAAAATCCAATTTATATAATATGGCAATATTATATAATAATATTTCTAACTATTATATAATAATAATTTTATATAAAATGGATACAACTGATCGTCTGATTTGGCGCAAAAAGTTGATGGCAAAGAAAACAACGTCCTACCTCTGGAAACCGGGTCTCTGGACGCAAAACGAAGATTGATTGATTGATAATAGGGCAAACATTCATTAAAAAAATCCAATAAAAATAACAGATGATAGTAAGCTTGTTTTTTATAAATGCGCAGCGCTCCGACATACCTAATATTAATAAGAATATGGGTACCAGTCTTAAGTGCATTTTTTCAAGTTATACTTTATTAATGTTTGTGCATTGTGTGTTCCCAGTGAATAAAGTAAAATAAACAAATTTATATAGACAGCTTATCTAGAACTATCAAACTCTCTTGCTCAAACATTGCTATATATGATACACCTCACTTTTATCAGCAAGTCAAAATAGAAACTCAAAAGACTGTCCGAGTAAACTATTAACTAGTAACTGATGAAAACAGAGTAATAAGAAAAGTACTGGCATCACTCTTAGACAAAAAGAAAAATATGCAATACTCTTTGGAAATAGACCTGGAAATAGAAATAAACATTAAAATAACAATGACAGATTTTCTTAACGTTGATAAAACAAAAGCTATCGCGGACGTTACTATTTGCATTGGCTTAATATTTATTTTGAATGAAAAAACCTTTATTTAAACCAACTGTAATAAATAAAGCAAGCTTTGAGACCATTAACGACCGCTTTTTCTCGCCGACTTCTGAAATATCCAAAGATAAATTCCATAACGTCATCAATTCCAACTATTCCATAACGTCATCATTTATTTCTTGGCGGGTTTTCCCAGTTTTTCTTCCACAGCGGTACAGATAAATGCGTATAATGTTCTAATTTTCTTATTTAAACCATTTCGTATATACTTTTGTTTTTCAAGTTGGATTAACATGATTTCGTCCACCAACTTTTGCCTCCACTCGATTCTTAAAAAGTCTCTATAGAACTAAATTTCAAACGTTTTTAATCTTTTTTTTGTAACTTTTACATTATTAAAAGGTTTTTAAACTTTTTTTGAGTTCTTAAATAATTGCAATTTTTTAACAATTACTTTTGAGCAATTGTTGCCACTTATAACACTGGCTAAACAAGATAACGCTTTTTTCGACTATAATTTTTACATGATAGCAAAATATAATTGTTCTACCATGAAATAGTAAGTACGTTCATCAAGGTTTGCTGATTTTGATTTGTTCAAAATATTGGTATTATTTTCGAGTTGTCAATTAAAGAGACGTACAAATAAGGTCAAAATCATTTTATTTTTTAAAAACATTAAATATCCTTTTATAACATATTTATGTAACTTAGTATTTTAATAATTGATAATTTAAAACACTGCTCAAAACATTAACCATGGTAGTTTAATTTAAACTAGTAATTAATTCATAAAACATAATTTATATGAGCTACAAAGCTAAAAAAACTTTAATGGCAATGAAAATATATTTGAAAAAATATATAATTTCAACGTTTGGCTGACAGTAACAAACGAAAGATAATTTTAATCTGCTACTCAACTTCATTATCCTCAAAAGCACAAAAAGTTACCTGGCAAAACTTTCTGTATTCCTGTAAAAAAAATTTTAATGACGGTTTTGTTATGGTGCCAAAGTATAAAGTAGTATCAATCAAATTGTCCATTTGTTGATGTTCGCTTGTATGCTTCGCAACTAAACGAATATTTTTTTGATTGTGCAGGAGAATTTTTAACGTTTCTATTTTTTAACCCGAATGTTTTAACTTTTTGACCCATATCTCGCTTTTGGAACAGAGATATGGGTCAAAGCTTGTTTTTAAATTTTTAAAGCTTGTGCACAGCTGAAAAATCTTTGTAAAGAAATCAGACAGCAAGAAGTTTCAAAACAAAAAATAGTGTAGACGCTTCTGAAAAAGTTGCCAAAGGCAGGTAATATCGTGGAAAAAAAAATAAAAAAATTGTAGAAATCGTAAAAATCTATTGCTCGATTTAAGTCTAAAGAGTAATTGGTGAATGAAATAACACATATTCGTCAATACATGACATATTGATACACACCGGATTAAACAACAGCAAATAAACTTTGGCATTGGATAAGGCCGTAACAACAACAACACACGTTTAGACGACATTTTCCCCGAGATCGGTGGTTTCCGTTTGGCTACCTATGATGAAACCGAAATAACCCTCCACGCCATTCACATCTGTCACTCGCCTCAGTATCACGCAACCCCGCTTTCACTCTATCCTTCTCCACCTGCTCTCTCCATCCCAATCGCGGACGACCCCTTCCTATCACTCCTTCAACCTCGAACTCCAACGCTCGCCTAATACCGACCCTCTCATCCCTTCTCAACACATGTCCATACCACCGCAATCTCGATCTCCTCCTTATCAATGTCACAATGTCCTCATTCAGTCCCATAATCAACATCGGCTCTGTACTACACCTCCTATCCTTCACTTTAACCCCACACATCATACTCACCATAGCTCTTTCAACCCTCTGCAGTACACTTTCTTCCTCTCTTCTCAACACCCAAGTATCACCACCATATACCATCGCTGCTCTCAAACATGCTTTATACCCTCCCTTTCATCTTCACTGACCATTTCTTTCCACACAATACCCCACCAAGTTCCCTAAATTTCATCCATCCCACACGAACTCTAGCCGTAACAGCGCTCAAACATTCTCCATCCGCGTTCAGCTTAACCCCTAAATAAATAAAGCTTTCAACTATTTCAATACCATCACTCAACCCCGTCCTTGCGTCCGTTCTATTGATCACACCATGAACTCATTTCTTACATTTGAACGTGC